TCGTGTTTGTCTAGTTTTCTATTAATTATTGAATTCTGTCGAACATGTTGAGATTTGATAAATTATCTGAGTAACTTGACATTGAGTGTACTATACTTTGGCGTTGTGTTGTGTGTTCCAAAGATTTAGTGAAGCTGGGTCACACAAGTTTGAGTTACACAGGGAGAGTCAGTTCCTTCAAAAACGATGGTGAAACTTGCTACTTAGCGTTACTCTCTAACTACTTCCAACAACCTAACATTTAAAACACTTACACAAGTGAAAACCCTGCAATTTGATGGATAGAATTTATTCAACACTAAGGACTAGACAAACATGACACTAGTCAATACAAACAATCTTTAAACTGTGTAAGTATTTCATACCAAAACATTAGAGCTGTAATTAAATTTAAGCTTCTCCTGGATCTGTGGTTTATTAGTTGAAATACTTAAACTTTAACTTTAACCCAACTATATATGTAGATAATTATTGGTAAATAAGTTTTCATATTACCTATTTTTCTCGATATTCGTCAACAATACACAGTACACTATTATTCTCATTTATTTATTTATTTATTTTAACACATAGATATTGGTAAAAGGAGGCACCAAATACATATGCACCACACAGATCTCATTTGATATGTGTGAGGGCTGTGATACTGACCGAGTGCCCAAACTAAAGCAGGTAGTTTTCTTAGGGGACCACACCCGGAGCCTACGACCTGAAGGTCTGATCCACAAGGCAGTGGAAAATCGTGAGGAGATGTAGTCCCATGGTAGCCGGTCACCAACAATTGGTTTATACGCCATTTGTTTCTACATAATCCTGGAGCCCATGTGCACCATTGGCTTAGAACCATGATTTTTAAACTCTCTTATGTGGATATTCCATATCCACCAACTCAGTTAAAGCGCCGGACATTCACTTTTCGTCCTCTCAATTTCGTAAACAACACTCCCGCCACGAGAACGCATGCTTCAACCCATAAGATAAAAGGAACACTGAAAGATAAGTATCAGTTGTGAAAGTAGACTGTAGTCTGGAGAGTTGATCCCATAATGTGTTAGTAACTATAACCGCTGGTTAACGCAAATGGTTTTCAGTCAATTGTGACTCAATTTAGATACTGTTAATCTTGAGAGCTACTTAGTCCATATGGCAGTAACAAAGTAGGTTTTATATACTTTTCCTGATTTATATATGCATTTTGAAAATATTTTAAAAATTAAATGAATAGAAGAAATGAGAATTATCTGTCATATACATTAAACCACATCTTCAATTAATCCCATTTTTAATCTGCTATAAGTTTAATCAAATGTAATAACAATCTACCCATTAATTATTGAAGAGTAAATAATGTTATACTACTTAACTCTCTACCTGTTAACTGGATTTTGCCGACTAACCGATAGAAATGAATACTTGAACCAATCACCAACTAATTTGAATACTCTTATCTCAGTAGATATTAGCTTCATCACAAGTATTCTAGTAGTAACACTTTCAATAACGATATCATATGATGAATACTCTAACCACTTGAATGAACAATGGCTTCTCTTTTTCGAGAAACTATATATTTCTACGTGATAAGAGATACAAAACCTAAGTGTAGCAATTTCTATCAATTATCACAAACATAGAACATATTATTATTATTATCTAGTAGTGATTAACTGTGAAATCCATAGCGCTTATTTTATCTTGTCTGACACAAATTCGTGTAGGGAAATTGAATCTATATTAATCCCTATAGTTTATAGTAAACAATACCGGAAGTATTATTTAATTTCGAAATAATGGTTCCCTTAATTACAAATCTATTAATGATATTATCTCATAGTAACTAATTCAACAAATAATCAAGAAGTCAAAATGTTCAATGTAAAGTTCTTTACTCTTTAATATAAGTTACTTATTTAAAATAATCTTATCACTTTTAACTTTGAAATGATCTACAAGACATTATGGAATAAACTGTATTCGTTTGAATTAAATTAGTTTCAAAGTTTTACTCAATAGTTAAGAAAAGATTGTATTTCTGATGATGTTTCGTGACTTAATGTAAGTCACTTCTTCAGAGTAAATAAATAACCGAATATTAAGTTAACACAAAGTGGAACTGATACAAGTGTGAAAGTGAGGATCGGAAAAGCAAGAGCAGCATATTTACAACTGAAGAACATCTGGAACTTAAAGCAACTGTCTATCAACCAACAACAAAATCAGAATTTTCAATACAAATGTCAAGACAGTTCTACTGTGTGTGGCGGAAACTTGGAGAACTACGAAAGCCACCAACCAGAAGATACAGGTGTTAATTAACAGCCGTTTATGTAAAATATTCGGATCTTTTGGCCAGACACGCTCTGCAACAACCTACTATGGGAGAGGACAAACCAGATCCCAGCGGACGAAGAAATCAGGAAGAAGCACTGGAAGTGGATAGGACAAACATTGAGGAAAGCACACAATTACGCCACAAGACAAGCCCTCACAAGAAATTCTCAAGGCCAAAGGAGAAGAAGAAGACCAAAGAACACATAACACCAAGAAATGAAGACAGACATGAGAAAAATGAACAAAAGTTGAATAGAACTAGAAAGGAAGGCCGACGACAGAGTGGGTTGAAGAATGCTGGTCGGCGGTCTATTCTCCACTGAGAGTGATAGGCGTCAGTAAGTAAGTAAGTAAATTAACACAAGTTTAGATAGTACTCATTAGGGTATAACAAAAATATTACTATTAACTCTTAACTTAATGCTCAACGTATTTGAAACTATCAAGTCCAACTGTGGTATTAATACCTAGTTAAAAAAAATGTTTTTGAAAGACTTTATTTGGTCACTAAGATATGAATTACGTCACATGATACTTAAAAGTAGTAGATTCAATCAAAGAATAAATTGACAAGGTATACTGATGAGCATGATATAGTAAGTAGACTCTTGTTTTCAATAATTCAATAGATTATATTAGTTTATAATAAACACATAAAAACGAGAAATATCTGTCCATTATTATTCAGCTTGCAGTAGTTTCTGATATAGTATTGATATGAATCAATAGTTAGAAAACGAAAAGATATCATTTGATGTAACTTTTGAAATAGAAAACTTTAAAACATTGTACAGCTAGCTCATTGTAGTATGAAACCTGGTCTCGTTTATTAGTGCCTAATCCTGAGAGCCGAGTCCTGGGATTCTAACCAGAAGTCATGACCAATGGAATTCAACCATGTCAGATGTGAGGTACTTACCTACTAATAGTATTGGAAGGTTATTTTTGCTATACCTCGAAATAACTAAGTTTAGACATATAAACTAGTGAATACTGACTCAATGGTTTAAAGGTTAAGTTTACACAGTGATAGTATTGAGTTCACTTCTTATTGGGATCATGAATGACTACTACTGATGAGTCCCATACTTAAACAAAACAACTATTCAATGACTTTTAATTTTCTGTAATTGTCTAATAAAGGTCATTCCATGAAAAAAATCATATAATTCAACAATTTCCAAAAACACCTCCTTCATACACTTTGAACTTATGGAATTTTACAAAACACGTCACAATTTCCCCAAATCTATCTCTTTTTTTACATAATAAGATCAGTATCATAGATAGGTAAAACATAAAATTATTAATTTAATAGTCAGTTGAAGTTAAATCACCATGGAGAATCTGGAAGCACTCGATGGCTGCTTCGTCCTAGTATGGGACTCCACAGTAGTGTATATCCACGACCCGCCTCGAGAAATTTCAACCCAAGGCCTATCAGTCTCGAGTGCGAACGCTTAACATTTAAATCACTGAGCTGGGCGGCATCCGACGATGTTAATGTCTAACTTCAACTAATCCACAGAATCGAGTGACATATCCATCATTATCTTAAGTAACTTACTATCTCACAACAGACCCGGTTTAACTTTACTGGTCACTGCTTCGCACTAGAACCTCTTGAAGCCAGTCACTAATGAGCATATGATGATTATAATTAGTGCACTGCTGGGGAGTCTCATACTACGACGAAACGGCCATCCAGTGCTTCCACGTTTTCCATGGTGATCTAGCTTCAATTGATTCATCATCTCAACTATTAAAATCACTATAATATCCACAAAACACGCTTCTCATAATAATCATCATCATCATCGTATGCTGACTAGTGACTGGTTTCAAGAGGTATTTTCCTGGAGTTCTAATGAGAAGCAGTGACTAGTGGAGTTCAACTGGGTCTGTTGTGTGATAGTAACTCACTGATGACAATGGTGTATGTGTTGCTCAATTTCGTGCATTAGTTGAAGTTAAACATTAACATGGTTGGATGAGGGCCAGCTCAGTGGTGTAGAGGTTAAACATAGGCACGCGAAACCAATATATCCTTTGTTGGAATCTCGTGAGGCGGGTCGTCGATATGCACTGCTGTGGAGTTCCATACTAGAACGAAACGGCCGTCCAGTGCTGTCACGTTTTCCATGGTGATCTAGCTTCAATTGATTCATCATCTCAACTATTAAAATCACTATAATATCCACAAAACACCCTTCTCATAATAATCATCATCATCATCGTATGCTGACTAGTGACTGGTTTCAAGAGGTATTTTCCTGGAGTTCTAATGAGAAGCAGTGACTAGTGGAGTTCAATCAGGTCTGTTATGAGATAGTAACTGACTGATGACAATGGTGTATGTGTTGCTCAATTTCGTGCATTAGTTGAAGTTAAACATTAACATGGTTGGATGAGGGCCAGCTCAGTGGTGTAGAGGTTAAACATAGGCACGCGAAACCAATATATCCTTTGTTGGAATCTCGAGAGGCGATATCGTAAATGCACACTCGTAAAGAGTCCCACAATAGGACCCCTATTTGATTATAAAATTATTACACACAAAAACAAACAATATTATTCTCATAATAACTTGAAAATAGTTTCCCATTAATTCTTAAACACAAACCAACCAACCGACCCAAAATGACTATAGATTAATACAATATACTTACTATTATGACGATTTTGTAAATGAACACTTTTATTCCGTTTAATAAAATTTGGAAAATATTTTGATTCTTTAGTGTTTACTGAAGTTTTAGGCATGTTTTGTTTTGTTTTGTTTTAATTTAATTTAATATAAGATACATTGAATTAGATTGTGAAATAATCCACTTATAAAAGAGATTCAAATGAATGGTATTCAATCAATTGAATAGAGAAAACCAGTATATTCAATGATTTTAGTTTAGGTTGAATATTCAATGAAATAGGAATAGTAGTAATAATGATAATAATCATAATAACTATTCAATGAATATATTAACATTCATACTACTATTCGTACATGATTTATATAAAACTTATACACATGTGTAAAAGGTACATGGTTATTTGTTTTGTTTGTTTCATTTCGTTTCGGTTTTTTCTTGTTTTTTTTTGTTTTAGTTTTTGTTTTTGGTTAATCACAAATAGAAACACATGAAAACTTTATTTGTTATTAGTGACTATCAATTTATATATGTAACCTTACTATATATTTCAATTTATATCATTGACAAGTTCAGGGTTATTTTAAACATATACACACACATACATACATACATACATACACACTAAATATAAGTATATAAGCACATAGATACTAGGTGACATTTATTGTGTGTATGTGTGTTTGATGATATGACATAACAACTTTTGATACGAAATGATATCGGGGTTGCTTTGTTTTTTGTTTTTTTTTGTTTTTTTTTCCATATTTTTCATGATAATAATATGAGCATGACTGATTCTTTAAAAGTAGTGATCACCTTGAATCATGTAAATGTTTCAAAATCGAAAAATTATGCATAACAATAATTTACATTTAGAATAATGTATACATATGTATATATTTGATAGAAACTATATAGAATGTTGATTATATTATTCATGTACTTGTGTGTACAAAACGAGAAATGACAAAACTGTTATGAATTTTTTTCAGAATGGGTTTTGTGGAGTTTTTTTTTAGAAATTTCACAGGTGGATGCGCACTGCTGAGGAGTCCCATACTAGGACGAAACGGCCGTCCAGTGCTTCCAGGTTTTCAATGGTGGTCTAGCTTCAACTGACTCATGAATTTTTTTTGGTATCTGTCCATAGTTTATCGAATATATATATACATATATATATGTCAGAAGGATTGAGATCATGAGTCAATGAAAGTTAGATTATCATAGAAAATCTGGAAGTATTGAGTTCGAATCCTGTGGATAGGATTGTGGATGAGTAGTACGAATTACAAATGAAATGGCCATCCAATACTTTCAGGTTTTCCATAATGATCTAACTTTAATTAATTCATGAATTCAATTAGTAAATTTTGAAATTGTTTTTTTCTTCATAAATACACTTTTATGATAGTTATAACAATAGTACATTAGATAGTGATAGTTTTTGTTAATCATTGTGAATAACATTTAGTTACTTACTAATTTCATTGTCAGAGAAGTTCTATTCACTGCCTTCATGTGGGTGGGGGTGTTGTTTACAAGATTGAGATAATGAAAAACAAATGTTCAGCACTTTATCCGGGTTGGTGGATATACAAGATCCACCTATGGGAGTTGGAAAACGCTGATTCCAAACCAATGGTGCACATGGGCTCCAAGGTTCTGAGACGACAACTGGTTTGTGAACCAATTATCGGTCACCGGTTACCATAGGACTTCATTTCCTGACGTTGCTCCACTCCCTTGTGGATTAGACCTTTAGGTCAAAGGCACCGGATGTGACCCCCTAAGAAAACTACCTCTTTCGGTTCGGGCAGCCGGACAATATCTCAGCCCCCACACAAATCGAATGACTTATGTCGCGCATATGTATTCGGTGTCCCTTTGTACCAATATTTATGTGTTCAAATAAACTAAATAAAATACTTACTAACTCATCAAAGTTTATATCATACAATTGAAATATTTCATATTACTCAGTATTTTATAAATAATTTGACATGAAATGACAATAACTAGGAACTAATGAAAGTGTTTATCTAATCTATTTCCACTGATAATACAAATTAAACATTAATGGGGATTAGTAAATGATTTCCCTGACAAACTATCATCGCTTAAAGAACCATTTAACATCAGAAATCCCTGAATACTTTACAAGCCCAAATTCAAGGACATTATAAGAGATGAAACTCAAAGTCTAAAATCAACCAATCTTAGAGTAGAGACAGTTAATACCAGTATGACAATAAGTTGATTACTCTATATCCCTAATTCATGCAGCTCTCAACATAATGCGGAACATAGGATTTTGACCTATTGGTCAATGATACCATGTTAACGCTAATATCTGAAGGCCCTAGGTTCAACATCAGGTAGATCTTTAAGCTTGTGTTACCTAGAAGCCTGAAACTTATAACGAAGTGGTTGTCTAGTAATTATTAAATTTCTTTGGTTCTTCAACTAATTCCAGTAAGTTTCAAATTAACTGAGCTTAAGACCATAAGAGATGCTTTTTATCCTTTAATAAAGGTTGATATCTACTAGAGATATATATCATTTCACTAGATAACAGTTATCTAAAAATTTATAAATAAATCATAAAGTGAAAGTATACACTAATTAGGTTATTTAATCATTATGAATATGAACTCATGTATCTTTTCAAAGTTTCATGTATTAAAAACTAGGTCGAAACATTTAGTTGAAGGTTCGTGTTTCATATATCAATATGATAGTAATGCTAATTTTGAATCCTATTTACTTCCGTAACATTCAACTTGATCCTAAATACTTGTTCTCCTCTATTGATTTATGATTTATTTTGATCTCATTCATTATACTACACTTGATAAGTCAATAAGTTATAACAAGTGAAATTCTCTTCATCTGACTACTAATTAAATTCATTTAAAATGTAAGATATGATTAGTAAATTTTAAAACTTTTTAATTAGATGAGAGTTAGTGTTACTATACGAAAGTCAGTCATATGTCAGTTAGCCAGTCACAACGTAGAATTTCGTGCGTATGTACGTACATCAGCTCGACTTGCCATACCACATTACCACAGAGATGCAGTTGTCGATTCAAATCCCATCGTGTTAGAGGTTGTAAGAGTGTAAGTAGTAATCGGAAACATTAAGGTTTGAATATATTACTCAAGGAGTATAATCGAGTGAAATAAATTTAGAAAGAAAATAAAGGATACGAAGAATTTAGAAGATTAGAATTTGGGAGAACACAAAGAGTGGATGCACCTGCGCCATTGCAAACGATTTTGAGACATGTCATTCAAGGTCTCTAACCATCAGTTGCTTCCAACTCGTGAATCTCAACCAGGTAGTCTACACCTACCAACATGACTCAGTCCATTTGGCAATGACTTTATGGATTTGTGCCATGTTTTGGTCTGGCCGCCCCTCTATGGAAGTAAATGCCCCCAAGATTTATTCAATCCAATCCCTAATCATCAATTACATAAATCAGAAAATTTTAGATGGCTGCTTCATTAAAATTTAAGAATTTTAAAAACATAATTTATCTCAAAAATCAAATAACAAAACATTCAAATTTCCAGACCAGAACGATAAAATTCAGTTATTGTATCAATATAATTAAAATTGTCATTACAAGGTTGTGGTGATTGCCAAATTTCAACAAAATCATCAACCAACATAAGCTAGATCACCATTGGAAAACTGTAATCATTGGGTGACCGTTCTGTTTTAGTGGCCGGGAATCGAACCCAGGGCTTTTGGCCTCACTTGCGAACGCCCAATTTGTAGACTATTGGAGCGGCATACACTGGTTCTAATGTTTAACTTCAGTAGTCTAGGAGCTAAGCGTTCATGTACGAGACTGAAGGTTCTTGGTTCGACACCCACGTATAGATTTGTGAGTGCCCACCATTAAGAAGTCTTATGCTAGGACGAAATAACTATCCAGTGCCTCCAGGTTTTCACTGGAGGTTTAACCTAGATAAGTTTCATAATTTCAATGATAACTAAGATCTAGTAGTTGAATTCATAAGTCCATGGAAGCTAGACCACTATAGAAAACCTGGAAGCACTGGATGACCGTTTCGTCTCAATGTAGGTCTCTACAGCAGTGAGCATCCACGACCTCACCTTGTGAAATAAGAACTCAGAACCTATCAGTCTCGTGCTCGAGAGATTAACCTCTAAACCGTTGAACCGGCATCCAACTGAAATCATTAGATGGATTACACATCAATTCATAAAATGTAACTTTGATACTCAATGTAGTAGCAAAATATTCTGATATAAATGAACCGAAATCGACCTACGTATTTACAAAAACTTAAATTTCTTATAAGAATTAAAATATTATCACTAATAGCAACTATAAATTTATGATACCATTTTGTTTTTTAATTTAAATCTGATTAATTGAATAGAAATTAAATAAAGATGGATAGTGGCTAGCAATGGAATCCAGGATGCGCGTTTCATCCTAAGAACAATGGCATTTCAAACAAACGGCACTCAATTCGAGTCCCAGAGTGAACACAAACTCTAGGATGCAAATACATTCAGCCGACAAGTCTCAAATAGGATGAAACACGCATCAAACTAGACTCCACTGTTAGTCACTATCCATCTTTACTTCAAAACCTTATGACTTAAGGCTATATCAAAGCAATCAGCACAGGATACATATAGAATTGTACACAACAATACAATATATCATTGACTTACATTTTAGATTATCATTACTTAAACGTTGATTTGAAGATTTATAATTGGATGTATTATTTCTTCGAAGCTATTCAATATTCATATAAAAGGATTATATTTCTTAAAAGAATATATATACTTACAAATTTATAAATTCCTTGACTTTTATTTTGTTCCATTTTCATTATTCTCAATAAAATCCTTTAAATCGATTAGATGAATGGATGAAAATTATAATTTTTCTCTTTTTTTTCTTTTTCTTTTTTCTTTTTTTTTATGAGAAAGAAAGGGATATCTTTTACACCATATAATCAATTCGTTTTTTTTAATTTTTGTTTTCCTTTTTTGTTTTTTTTTCTTGTTGTTTTTGTTGTTGTTGTGGTGGGGGTTGTTGTTGTTTTAAAAATGTTAATTCAAAGAAACTGATCTTTATTTAAAATGGATTTATTAAATGATCAATGGATCACTTAGTAACATGTCACATTATTTAATATTACAAAAAATAATGTAGATATCAAATGAAATTATTAGACTAATAATGTACTAATACACCAATATACTTTTGTATAAATGTGCACAAATCTATTTATATGTGTTATCATTACATTCAGATATAAATGTATAGATAGATAGATAGATAGATATAGGTATAAGCATAAATCATATTGTCATGACATTTCATTGAAACCAATCAACACATTGACAAATGAATATTATTATATCTGATAGAATAGATAGGAAATGACAATTATATGGGGTTGTTTTTCGGATACTTCACTATTGATGTATTTGACCTTTGAACATTTAAACAAAAAATATTTTAGGGATAGTTTAGTATTAAACAATTCTAGTCATTGTATATTAAGTAATACTATTTGATGATTTTTATTAATAATTGATTGATCATTGGATAGT